GAAAGAGCCTGATTATTTCGGAGAAAACTCGTAAAAACAAACATAGCAACTGAATACCTAAAGAGCATTAAGTTCTCTCAGGTGGCAATCCGCATTAAATTACAAATACAACAGTAAAATTTCACTAATCTCAATTTGAAAGAAATTGAAAAAAATACGTTTGGAGAAATAAAATCTGAGTTGTACTTCTCTTTACACACACAAGTTCATAGATTTAATGACGTAGTTGCCCTGTAGGTTTCCTAAATATCCAGGAAGAAATGTCGACAGACCGCAACTTCATAGCAATTTAGGACTTGCAGTGCATCTATTGAACACAAAAGTTCATTGCTCATGCCAATGCCCCTTCACAAGCACTTTTTATAGATATAAAAAACGTGGTTCCAACAGCTGGAGACAAATCATTTCTTTGTGTTCACGTTAGCGAATTTATATTTTGGTGAGGCATTTATCGATTCTTACGTTTTTTACCTACGATACCTGATTCTTCAGTTATTTTTACACAGTTTTACCGGCGGAGGAAGTAATTTTTCGGCTTGTAACACTGTCCTAGAATTTAAAGAGCAAGTACATGACGGCTGCTTAAATGGAACCATCTCCTGTTAAGGTGTAAGATTTACCTAACCTACACGATAAATGTATATTATGTGACTGGGGTAAATGTTAAATAAGTGCAACAGAAAACACTGTAAAACTGAAGAACTGCATGAACGTGAGAGAATATCAATGGCAGAGTAATGGCTAAAAAAGAAGATAATGCGTTTCTTCTGCGAAGAGAAGACCCAAAAAGGAACTCAAGGCAAGAGAAAATGATGCATACGAAAGAAGCATTTTCCAACAATCAGCGTGGATCCACATATTCAGAGGAAACCTGCTTCAGTCAAGGACATCCAAACATGAAATAGTCATCAAATCCAGTTTATATAAACAAGCTTAGTCAGTTCATCTCTATTTCATGGAGAATCGATGCCAATCGCAAGATTTGAGCTCTAATAATGCTTAAGAGATTATTTTAGTAGACTACGTTTCCTGATATTCGAGCATCGGTAGAACCCGTGTATATATCCCATCATTCTGTTGGCTAGAATAACAATTTGTTTCGAGTTCATATTAAATACCTGATATAATTTGATATCACATAAATTTTACGATAAACCATACATGTCTGATATGTGAGCTGAATAAATGTAAAATATCACCTTCACTTGAATAAGCTGCAGCCCTCCTCCCTTTATCACTACCGAAATATTCGTCGCTCCAGAGTCGATACTGTTCTCTATCAACTCCTTAACAGCATTCGCTGGTCGATGAATGACTTCTCCGGCCGAGATGAGCTCGATGACGGAGGGTGGCAAGTGATGTATGACACCTTTGCTTTCTTGAATATTATCCGCTTCCATTGCATCATAAGTCTGGAGAACAAACAGAAATAAAATGTTCTTTCGAAACTTTACAAAATCTCTGTAGTAAATATACGACAACATACGAATTTCAGTCATTAATTAAAAACGGGAGGAAAGCAACTTTAATAGCGCTCGAAAAATAGATCACGTTGAAACAAACAACTTCATACACCAAATACGAGTCATAAAACCGAATATCATTCAAAAGCAGAACTGCAAAACAAAAAATAACGCACAGAATTTTTCGAGTGTCCCAGCATATGGCACCAATACCTGAGCTCATAATTCTGTTACAAAGTTTTCTGAATCTGCT